CTTCCTCCGAAAATCAGGTGCCCTTGAGCCCGAGGGGCGCGCTGCACACATTCCCCAGGCGGCCCCACAAGGAAACCCTACCCTAGTATGCAGGTCAGACCGGATTTCACTGGAGATGTGCGTGGATGTTTTCAAAATTAAGGTTGCACCAGTAAGGTTAATTTTGACTGTAGGATAAAGGAAGGGTTAGTGTTAAGATGGGGAATAGGGTCTAGACTGATGTTAGAGATATTTTGGGCTTAGAACACGGCAATATTTATCCTTCCTCGAATTATGCCCGGGTTACCTTTATTACTTGGGTGGGGTGCTCGTATTCCCGTGTCCTGTCCAGGAGGCCATATAAGTAATCCTTCCCAGTAACGGTATTGTTATATGCGGCGCTCCATAATCTTCCTTGTCCGTCTTGTAATGTCAGTGGTGCTGTGTTGACTTTCTCCAGGAAATATGCAGTTACAACAACGAGGACCTTGAGCGCGACTCTTCAGCCACACATAACTTTTGCCTTTTCCTGGAAACCGTATCCTCAACACATCCCGTCCTGGCTATCTCAATTCTTCCTCTGATCCGCTCTCGTCTCAACGAGGATCCCTATCAGATGCGTAATTGTGCGCTCAGTGTGATTGGTGAAGTGTTGCGCAACCTCTGCAGCCGCCCTCAGCTTGAGGCAAAGGACAAAATTCAACGCGACCGACTGATGGATGTCCTCCAGGTTAGTTTTTCTTTAAATCCCGCCGTTCAACTCTCTCGTACTACAGAAAACTGCTACCTCTTTAAAAAAACTGTTCTCTATTCACTCTTCTCTGCGTTTTTACTAGGAACACATTCACGACGCCAATGGTTTCGTCCGAGCCCGTGCTCTCCAGATCTGGTACAATCTGGCTTCTGCCAAGGTAACTTTTCTGACATTTGCGTAACTCCAACCTGTAATTTTTCGAAGTTGTCGGTAGCCCTTTATCTTTACAGCTGTTAAATCCCAACTAAAACTAATGATTGTCAAAGTTCTTAAAGTACTGTAAGATAGCCTGCAGTGCACGCTTACTAGAATGAAAAAGAGTAGAAAGCCTTCCGGTTGAAGATAGGGAATTATGATCCCGAATGAGGGGGTAAACATACAAGGACGTTTATGTATGGTGGTATTTTCCGTGTGCCGTTTTGCGACAGGGCAGGGTGCCTATCACTTGATTCAAGTGTACGTGTACGCTGGGCAACCACAGTGTTGTCTGTGAGCAGGTTTTTGGATCCCAGTACACGCTGAGAAAGATACCTCGTTCTTTTAGGATACTGTGTGGAAAAAACCACAGTTGTAAGACGGAGCGTCTAGGTTGATGTTGGTTTACGAAAAGACCAATAGTCTGGTAAGCAGCAAAGAAGAGTGTGTTGTCACAAAACAGACATTGTATTCATCTAAACTTTTGAGCCCCCTAAGTAAGTAATTCTCTGCTCTAATGGAAGTAGCGCAGAGTTCGGGTTACTTGTGTTGCACAAGCCTTTCCGAAAATCTTTGGATTAATTCCAGTAGAATTATAGGCCAAAGGAACAGCGAACTTAGCTTCTTCTCATTGCAATGTATGACCAAATTCATACAGCGTATGCCGACAATCAGAGACCCAAGGACGGAGGACGTTTTTCCTGTAAAAAAATGGTTTGCTAAACTTTTCAGGATGCTTGCATACTCGCTCTCAGCGACACGGCAGTCTGAGAATTTGGATTACTCCAACTTAAATGATAGCGTTTTCTCAGTCCCTGTAATTGAGATCTGGCACAATATCTCGAGCTAGTGCATACAGATTTTAGACTGAACGTTGTTGACGAAAACAATTTTATTGGCCACAGTAAATTCCCTATCTCATGTAATGGCAACCGAAATTCTGAAATGTGTTTTCGCTTCGAATATATTAATTAATTTTATTTGTAATAATGGTTGCAGACGCTCAGAAAGATGCTTGTTCAAAAGCCGAAAACCTGATGTGATTAAAATACCTTGAGGTTAGGGTGTACGATTGTTAATATTACATTCCTACTTGAGTAATTTGTTCGAAAAGAAAAGACTTTCCGAAATTTTGGTTGCCGTTTGATGAGATATGGAATCTAAAACACGTCATTGTTCACGAAAAAACCCGAATAACGCAAAAGTTGGCCCTGGCACCCGAGGCAAACAACTTACAACTAAAAGTTCATTTATGTCATCGAAAAATGTTACACGCGAAATGAATTACTAATTAGTTTAAACGGAGACTAAGCTCTATGGAAATAAGAATTTCACAATAGTTGTCTCATGTTCAGGTTCTACTCGCCTTTCGATTGAATTCTAAAATTGTTATGGGAAATTTTACATATTTTTGCTTTCAGTGCTCTAAAGGGAGGGGTGCTAGTTTATGTGAACTCAACGTTTTAACCATTTTCTTCTCACAATTCTCCCTACTCGTTTCCTGTATAGGGCCTCCCTGTGAAGCGACAGGTCCAACTTGCGCGTCTTCTTGTAGGACCCGAAGGCGCGATCAATGACATTTCCAGTTTTGCTCGCAAGTATGCTCTTCGTCTGCTTACTGCAATGCTGGTCCAAAGTCCGGCTGCGAAGGTACATGATTACTAAACGCCGTCCTCCAATTAACTTTCGTCAAATTCAAATACGATTTTTATGCAGGGTGCGCTTGCCGTATTGGCTGTTCTAGTGTATTAATAACTGCCAACATCATCGCCTAGGCAAGCCACGAGCAAATTCAAGTTCCTTTGGCAGTGACAGTTGCTAAGACTCCGGTTACTGGAGGAAATTCGTTCGTTTCGTTTAGTCTTGGGCTCCCAAGCTAGAGCCCTAGTGGGCTGTTTAATCACGAGGAGAAATAAACAATACAAAGATTATGGAGCCCGGAGTGGCAATGCAGTATCATTCAGACACTTTTCAGTAGGACTTGGGATGCGTTCCGTGGCCCCTGAAATGTTCCTGGTGTAGGCTAGTGCACAAAAGATTTCTAATTTCACCCCAAAGTCTAATTAAAACTTCGCACGTGTTGAGTTGGAGACCAGATCGTGTTTTGCTGAGAGCATTTTGCCACTAAAGATATGAAGCCTAAAATACCCATTAGCCGTCCTCAGTCAAGGATATTCCAACCCTTGACATTCGAGTCTGCGGCTCATTGGATAGCAATTTCGCCACTTCACTAACGGCTTCGCGTCATGTTACCCCTGAACGCTCTGAGCCACAATTATCATGCCCATCTGCGGTCAGTTCAGTTCACTTTTATTAAATAAAAGATAGGTGAACGCCTTTGAATTATCTTTTGGTAACAACGCGGCTTATAAATTTAAGAAGAGATCGCTTGCATAATTGCGCACGAAAAGCGAGCAGCCATCGGTCAGTCGAAAAAAGTAAACATGTACGACTACTGACTAATTACGAGTAGTAAATTAGTAATGTTTTCGTGTTTCGTTAGTGAGAGACTTTATGCATGTCCAGTTTAATCTTAAATGAATTCGCACAAGGGAAGAAAACAGTATCTTCAGGCGGAGCCTTCCACACTGCAATAACCCTGTTCATATCATCTTTTTTTCTGCCATCAGAACACAATGGGCGCATAAACCATGAAGATAGAGGTGTTTCATTATAAACAAATTCACGCAGAGGCGTCACTTCTGCGCCCGCTGGATAATAGTGGGCCTCGTCGGTTAAGTTGGCAGTTGCCATTCTTTGTTTTGTGGTAGACGCCCGTCCTTCATCTTGTCTTATCAGGAAAACGTCATGCGGTTTCTCGTATCCGTAGTTTGTTCGTCTGACGTTTTGAATTCACCCCTTAGTCAAGGGCAAATTAAACATACAGACCGGTCTTATTTAACTTTTTTGTTTGTCCACCGCTTTAGCGGGTGGCAGGCCGACGTGCCTTTCTACTGTATCGCCGTTTTAATGTCGCGTTTATTGTGGTTTACAAATTTCTACGCCTAACCATGCTTTTCGTGCTTCATAATTTAAAGTCCTCGAAAATTTT